CCAACGACGCTCACGGCGTATACGAAGTACAGCGAGGAGCGCAGCTGCGCCACCGACCCGCCCGGCGCGCGTGTGCGATGGGCTGCCTACACCGCGGCTCTCCCAGCCCCCAGACACAACTATTAGTGGGGGACCTGATCGTTGATCGTGATTATTGACCGTATAAGTAATGTGGCCAGGAGGAGAGGGGAGCAGTGCTGAGCACAGTGGCACAGTGACTGACGTGACGACAATTGAACTTTGATTGTGCTAAGGCTTCGTACAAGTATTTAGTGTTGGAAACCCATGGCAATCGTCAGCAGTACACCCCCAACCCCCTCTCCCCCTCCTTCTCGGTTACGATCAATTTTCGGGTTATATGGCAGAGATGGCAGATGCTTCCTCCATGAGACTACACTCCCTTGCTTCTTCCTACGGTCCTTCGGAGGCCCAAAAGCACCTAAAGGGCCCGCTTCGCAGGCTAAGAGAGGGCCCGCAAAAGACAGTTATTTACAATTGTACACACTGACACTGTTAAACATCTCACGTTCGTCAATTCAAATACATTTTAAATGACCCAGCTGCTTTATATTTAGTTTCAGACGACTAGTATTCACAAATTGTTCACTGTCGCGTCAGTTTCTCCCCCTCTTCCTCGTCTACTATTTTGCTCAGCCTGCGCACGATCGTCTTCGCCCTGCCGGACAAGAAGTTCTGCCGAGGATGTTGACGACCTGGATCATCCTCTGGACCGCCTTCTGCTCGCGCTCGGCCTTCTCGGCCTCCGTCTCTCCGATCTTGGGGATGAGGTCCTCCATGGCCGGCGGCAGGTGCGGGTGGTGGTGCGGGTACGGCCCGTGGGCGGCGACCTGGGTCTGGGCGGCGACCTGGGCCTGCGCGGGCTGGGCGGCCACCGCGTCGTCGTGCTGCCATGCCTTCCTGGCCAGCTGGGGCGCGTCGGCGTCCGCCCCGGGGTGCAGCGGCGAGAAGCGGTGCGGGTGGTGCAGCCGGCGATGGGGCCGCGGCGGGGGGATCATGGAGCTCAGCACGTCCACGGGGATGATGAAGTCCGCGGCGGCGTCCGCGAGGGGGTCCGGCTCGTCCACCATGTGGGGGTGGGGTAGTCCTGCACGGCCTGCATGTGATCTGATGTTTTGCGTGATTCAGGGGGTGGGGGTCAAAAACCGCTCCAAAAAGCGATACGTACTTCGTGAACGGCCCCAAACCTGGTCGACATTTCTGCCTGCTCCTGCTGGATCTAAGGCTGACACTGTGTGCTCGAGCTTGTCTGCATTCTTGATCGTCTGCAGAGAAGAGAGCGGAAGGGAGCAACGGTAGCTGTCAGCGCCAAATGCGCAAACAAAAATGCGTATGAAATGCGGCAAGCGTACTTAACAATATGGGAGTAATAATACCCACATTTTTAGTCCAACCGGGGTATCTTGACAAGTTCTGGTAGCTTAAAGGGAATATGAACGTATTTTCGTTAACGCCTTAATTCGACGAGCGACCGAGCCCCCCCCCACCCCCTCCCTCGCACCGCACTGCTGCAGCACCGAAAGCGAGGCCGAGGCCCTCCGGGAGGGAGGGGAGATCGAGGAGGGGCGGGGGAGGGAGGGGGCTGGCACTGGCGAGTGGCAACCGACCTACCCCATCCTGCAACAGTTGAGAGTTGGAGTTGAGTTGGGCTGCCGCTGCGAATGCGAGGCAGGAGTGCCGCGCCGTGTGCTGTGTAGTGTGTCGGTGTCCGCCATCGTACCGCAGTTTCTCAGCAGAACAGTCTTTGGCCCAGCCGCAAACTCTGTAAGTCACGATACAAGTCGAAAGTTTCGCATGCACCGCAAACCTAAAACCTTATTGGCAACCACCACTTTCATCACCATTGCGTATCCAAGGGGGTATAATCATATCTGTTGCGGTGCATTTAGCCTACATTTCTAATGCGCCACCAAATTCGAGATGATGAATCCCCGATGAATCCCCACACCTCGCGACCAAAGTTTGGTTATGGCCCACCCCAGCCCCAGCTGAAGCACAGCTCGCCATCGCCTAAGGGGATTTCAGCCAATCTCAGTCCTCAAAACCTCTGGGGCGAGCCATTTGATAAATGAGCGATGGGAATGGTGTTCAATCAAGTAAGAGGAAGTGGCGTAACGTACCGCCGGCGCTTAACACATGAGCGGCAGAGGTTAGGTTCGTGCGGTTTTTGCTTCGTCCAGAGTTCATACAGTTTAAAGCGGGCACGCAT